CTCCTGGTACTAACATCATCACTGCTACTATATTCAGTAAGAGGAGACTATAATCACTTACTAGGGTAATAATTTTCATTTGTAGGATTTGCAGAGATAGAATCATTTACTGTTGCTGATCTTCCTTCTGATATGACAGTATATCCTCAGGAATACAAACTGAATTGTACTAAAATTGGACATAATCGCTATGACATTAGTATGAGCATTGGTAGTACTGCACTGGCTAGTTACACTGATTGTTTTGATCCTAATAATAACTGTGGTGGTACTGTGTTAAATGGCGCTTTTGAAAACACAGTAAGATATACTGTTACTATCACATGGGATGGCATGAATGTCAGTAGTGGATCAATCAGTCAATCAACCACTGGAAATCAAATGTATCAGTGCAGGGTAGCAGATCATCCTGCTGCTAATACAATTAGAATACGTAATGTAATTATAAAAGGTAATGTCAATAAATGCCAATAATTTTGATACCAGTAATATTAGTACCAGCAACTGCTCCCTCTTCTCTTACTGAGGTCAACAAGACAACTACCACTATCACTGTCAACTGGACTGCACTTGATTTATCTGATGCTGATGGATATGTAGTCAATGTCACTAGTGACACAGACACTGTGCAGACAGTACAGGTAGAGGGAAGTAGTAATAATACAATCACACTGAATGGACTGAAAGGAGGAACAACTTATAGCATCACAGTCAGAGCCTATCAACAATTACTGGGACCTGCTAGTACAATCAGTGTACAGACCTTACCAGGTATTGCTACTGCACCTTTTAATGTACTTGTAACATTGTTGATGTATTTCTAGTTATTAATTCAATCAATTGGACACTAGTTTCATCCATTACACAACTCAATAACACTCAATATCGTATTGATTGTCTCACAACTACTGATATAAATCCTTCAACTGATGTTTACTGGTTAGTGAATGGAGTGATGAAGAGTAGCTCAGTGCCTACATCAATTGATGTCCTGACATACAACAACACACTACTGGTATATCCTGATCCACTGGGAGTGTCAGTTAATGTTACCTGTATAGTAATGATTGGAGGAGTCAACTACAGTCAATCTGTGATATTACATGGTATGATTATACTTTAATCAATAGTAGATACCTTTGTCTCTTTTCTAGCTCCTAGTGGTCCTCCAAATAAAGTGAGAAGGTTTATATTAAATGCTAATAGTATCAAAGTGAACTGGACCAATTCATCAGAGACTAATGGATATGTGATTGAGTATACTACTGGAGGTGTAACCAGGAATGTAGTATCTACCAGTGAAGAGGAAATTGTACTAACAGATCTCTCACCAATGAGTACCTATACCATCAGTGTGTACTCATATATAGATCTTCCTTCAGTTAATAGTACAGTAACAGTATTAAGATTTGATGGTGAGCTATTATGATTGAGAGAGTGTAATTGATATCTGTTGTAGTTCCTAGTCCAGTAACTAGTCTCTCAGTATCTAATGTCTCAACCACTGGTATTACAGTG